TAGCATTTTTAGAAATCATATTTGTGAAATCACCAGTGCTTTGTAATAACACTATTTGCGCTGTATAGTTCACAATGTTCATCTCCAATGAGAAAACCTTATTGTCACTCCGGAAATGTACTCTGAAAGGAATAAAAGATAAAAGGTGGAATTAATGGTTTCTTTCACAGGAAAAAAAAACAGAGACAGTATATAAATGCACCATGATAAAAAGGCACCCAAAGCCTTCAGACCTTCAAAACACCACAGCCTGTAAGTCATTGCTGAATACGTCAGATTGACATGACACAAAGACACATACAGCACATGCATGGCATGTATATGTATTTAAATGGACCTTATTTGCGTAACAAAAATGCTCAACCAAGAGCTGAATGCCAATGTCCTGTCCTATGTTTAGTAGGCGATATGATATCTTGTCCAATAAACTACGGTATTTAATGTATTTGTCTCTTCAATTGGATGGAAATTAGTTGGAGATGTATTATCATTCCAGTGTGGTTATGGCTCATATGCCTCATGTTTTTGATACTCATATGCGCCGCTTTCTTTCGCTCTATTAAAGTATGTAGACTTGTTTGTATACTGTAAAACAATGAAATATTTATTTGATAAGATCAAATTCGACATGTCCTGATGAAATAAATATAAGTGTTTCAAATAACAAAGGCAGACTGAGTAATTAGTCCTTGCAAGTGCCTTAGTATCAAATTAGTAACACTGTCCACTTTCTCAGAAAGAAAGCCCACATTTCTTATTAGATAAGGATTAAGATTTAAATATGAAATATCCAGTTGTCATATCAAGGGTAATGGCAATGATAAGCAAAAACCATAGCATTTTACTTCTCATTAAAATATATCCTCGTTTTGCAGAGGAATGTTGCTGCGAGATGGCTGACAGCCCTGGGACTACATTTCTACAGCACAAGCTGATGAGAAATATTTAATTGAACACCCCTTCCTGCTTCACTGATCACAGCTACAGCTCAAATTTAACTTGTCCTTATCAAGCCTCTCCCACCACCCACCCACTCTGACACTATGTGAAGGCTTCTATTTGGAAGCTGTCTGGATCTCGTCTTTACTCTCTCGTTTGTGTGTGTGGCTGGCAAGATGGGAATAAAGATAGTTACTCTCTGACTGCTGGGCATTCAAATTGAAGCTCCTGTCCTGGCACGGGTCAAAAGGATTCATGTTGAAAAGTGTGCTCACATGGTTTGTTGTGCCATCGTGTTACTTTTCTATGCTAATGGTAAATGTGAGGCCAAACAATTATGTCACGATCGTCGGGAACAGAGGACCAAGGCGCAGCGTTGAAGGCAAACACTTATTTATTAGTGATTACACGAACAAAAAACAACAAACGATAACGTGACGTCCACGGTCTAACACAAACCACACTGGAACAAGATCCCACAAACACTGTGGGAAAACTGGCTGCTTAAGTATGGTTCCCAATCAGAGACAACAAGCAACAGCTGATACACGTTGCCTCTGATTGAGAACCACACTGGCCAACCTAGAACTACAAAACTAGAACGGACACAACGAGCACAAAACATAAAGAACACTCACACCCTGGCTCAACATACAAGCGTCCCCAGAGCCCAGGTGACGCACACCACTGGCTTGGTGTGGGGAGCAGGAACAGGCCGAGCCGGGCTGACGAAGCGCACCACTGACTTGGTGCGGAGAGCAGGAATGGACCGGGCCGGGCTGGCGACGCGCACCACTGACTTGGTGCGGGGAGCAGGAACAGGCCGGGCCGGGCTGGTGACGCGCACCATAGGCTTGGTGCGGGGAGCAGGAACAGGCCGGACCGGGCTGGCGACGCGCACCATAGGCTTGGTGCGGGGAGCAGGAACAGGCCGGACCGGGCTGGCGACGCGCATCATAGGCTTCGTGCGGGGAGCAGGAACAGGCCGGACCGGGCTGGCGACGCGCACCATAGGCTTGGTGCGGGGAGCAGGAACAGGCCGGACCGGGCTGGCGACGCGCACCATAGGCTTGGTGCGGGGAGCAGGAACAGGCCGGGCCGGGCTGGCGACGCGCACCATTGGCTTGGTGCGGGGAGCAGGAGCGGGCCGGACCGGGCTGACGAAGCGCACCACTGACTTGGTGCAGAGAGCAGGAATGGACCGGACTGGGCTGGCGACGCGCACCACAGGCTCGGTGCAAGGGACAAGAACAGACCAGACCGTACTGGGGACACACACCACTGGCCCTACGCAGGGATCAGGAATGGGCCGGACCGGACTGGTAACACACCCCAGTACCTCTCGCCGTGCCTCTACACCTTCCTTCCCCTTTTTGACCAGTGGCCCCCGTAACCTGGCGGCCTCCTCTGCCAACCCGCTGGGCCGCTCCATCGCGGTCTCCTGCTGCCCCATCGTCCACGGCGTGAGGCCCCCCCCCAAAAAAATTCTGGGCTTCTCTCCTTCCCGTGGACCAGGTCTCCATATCTCTCGCCAGCCTTTCGCCCTTCTGCTTCCAAGTCAAGCCCCTCTCTTGCTCACACGGCTTGACTCAGTCGAGGAGGCGCTGGATATCCGCTAGAGATTTCCCTGGCGATGGCTCCTGGACCCGCTGCTTGGTCCAGTTCTGGTGGGATCTTCTAAGCGTCCCCAGAGCCAGGGTGTGACAAATTACTGGAGAATAATGGGGTAGTTAGAAAATCAGACCCCTATCAGAGTTAGAGAAAACTTAGTTAAGTGTGAACAATTAATTGTGGTTTCCCGTACAGTAATCAAGGGTTAAAAATCAAAGCCATTTCAGTATTATCACAATGTAGAGAATACTTAGCGAGACGGCAGGTAGCCTAGCGGTTAAAGAGTGTTGTGATGGTAAACGGGCTGGTAAACGAAAGGTCGCTGGTTTGAATCCCCGAGCCGACTAGGTGAATAATCTGTTGATGTGCCCTTGAGCAAGGCACTTAACCCTAATTGCTCCTGTAAGTTGCTCTGGATAAGAGTGTCTGCTAAATGACTAAAATGTAAAAAGGTACATTTTCATATAAAGAGTAGAATGGATGAGTTTCCACTGAGTGCCCTTGCTACATAAGTTAGGCAGACATAGGTTGCATGACACAAACTGAGAGTGAGAAAGAGACATAGAGAGATTGTTTGAAATTCGGACTGGTTATGCTTTCAAACTAATAGATGGAGGGTCGGTGTCCCCTCACAGAGGTTTGTTCTACATCAATAACATAATGCTTTCAGCCAGATTCAGCACCATACATCTGGCGGACAGCTCCCCTACAACCATACTATAAACCTTGACAGTCTTGGGGGCTTGGGTGCTTCTTAACACAAAACAATGTTGATTCGAGTGTGTGATATTATATCATCTTCATATGCAAAACCAGGGATCCAAATGAACTGGTATCGCAAAGAGTTGTGATCTGATGAATTTAACATACTGTATTTTCTTGATTGTAAAGGTCCTTTAGTCATATCCAATTACATTGACTAGAAATGACCGGATACAATTTAAACAATTTACAGCCATGTATTACATTATCCCTGAGAAGATTCATAGAATCCAAGGGTGAAGTCATCCTGTAATTTTTGCTGATGCATGTGCTTAAAGATAATACATTTGCTATAAATGAGTGTCACTTAGCCAAATGATGCTATAAATATGTCATAGTTGTTCAAATCCTGAGCAAGTGGCCAGAGATATTAAAATCATATTTCATCAATTCAACTTTCAGAGTAAAAAACATTAACTCTTATAGGCACTCAATTGAAGGTATGTGAAATCACACCTTATAATGCATCTGCTGTAAACAAACAGGAAATCTTCATCCAGTCATTTCCATTCCCTTTTATTATGTGAAATTTCATTAAAATCGTACCATGAATTTATACCATAAATGTTTTATGTTGTATTGGACTATATTCCCTCTTCACTGTACAGTATGGTTAGGCGTATTCCCCTGGGGATGAACACAACCCAAGGCAGGTGTCTCCTCAATGTGGGAGGCATACAGTGGAAAATCCATGCATGCAATCTGATAGAGTAGCAATCCTTTACTTGTCTCAACTTATACTATAAAAGGGGAAGGTTCTTGACAAAAGGCCTTGTAACTCTGACATTGTCTTGCATTAGAGTAGACAGCAGTCATTTGACATGTCACTGACTGTCAACCAATGACCCAGAGCAAGAAGAAAAGAGTGAGGAGTGACGCAAATAAGGCATCAATACCATGTGGGCAAAAGGAAGTGTGTCACTGAGTAACACAATGTTAGAATTACGTTTAAATGTAAGTCTCTAGTAAGGACTGCTGACAGTTCTTGACAGGATTATTACAACAATGTAATCC